CGAGTAAGTCGCATCAACAATCGAAGCCTCCACCCGCAGAACCTCTGGCGCATGCGTCATGAAGAGGACAAGCAGATGCTGACAGCAACAGAAGACAGTCGCCCGCAACGGCTACCTGCTGTGTCGTCTCCTCCCTGTTTTGTCCTCCTCATTGTCTTCCTCCTCTTCCTCCTCCCCCTCCCCCCCTCATCCTCTTCGCTTTTCTCGGGTCAAAGGAGGAGAGCCGGTCAAAGGAGAAGACACGCGGACACTTTGAAACATTCTGGCTTCAAGCGGACGCCGTTCCAGGTCGACCACGCTTGCTTTTCGGATGAGATGGAGCAGTATGCCCCTTTGTGATTCTGCAATATGTGGCGCCCTTTTTCTTGGCGTGGCACTCCTTGCAAGGGCCTTTCTGCGTCCGGTTCTTCGCAGCGCTGGTTTCGCCGACTTGCTTCGCAAACCTGCCTGTGTCTAAGCAAATGTTCAGAGATACGAGTTCTGGTGCACATGCTATTGCATACTTCTCATACAATTCACTAATAGTCTGCCCGCCGCCCACAGCTTTAGCCAGAGAAGGAAGTTTGTTTCCATTGTCTGGCCCTGGTAGCTCGGTGATGAGCGTACCGTCGGCATAATACAACTTATTCACATTATGCGCACGGTTAACAGCCAGTGCCAGACTACGGAATACCCATTTTCGATTGCACTGTATTTTCGGATCTGTCGATGACAAGCTGAGCACGCCATATGTAGTAAGATCGCCCAAGAAATCGGAACAAGATTCGTTCCAAGACTCGACGCTAGAACAAGAATTCGTCATCACGAGCGACACTGCATCATGCATATGTAAGAAACTGTCAATGAGATTTCCGCTGAACTTGCCGTACCTTTGCAACTTGTACCTTTGTTTGCCCAACGCTAACGACAATCCACCAACATCATCCGTTCGCGCAATAACGTGCAAGTTCATGAGGAACGCGGCAACACCATGAATGAGGAGAGGGCCCTTGATGGTGTCTATCTCCGTGATAAGGCGATCGTGGACTTTGTCTTGCGAGATCTTCTGTGCCATCTCCTGGAGTGCGTCGAACTTTCGTCTTTTGAGGTCATCTTGCGCGGACTCTGAGGCGAAAACTATGGCAAACTCCGCTCGCGCACTCGGGAACTTCAGCAAAATCATAACGACTATTAGACCCAAGTTCTTTGCGAAGGCTTTACTCCATTTCGGAATGAGTGCCGCCACACAGTCGCGCAGATCCAGTGGAAGACGATGCCTTTGCAGCAGAGGCCGGACAATTTGTGGCGCCATACTAGTACCTCGGCATGGTGCTCGTCTGAGTTACTTGAGCTAAAATGGGTACGGAAATGAAGTGAGGCACGTCGCTATCGCATCAGAGGGCTTCGGGCTTCGCAGCGGAGCCGCTGGTTGACCTGGTGAGGGTTGTGCATATCTCTGGTGGGACTCATGCATATTTATATCTAGTGGACCTGGGTCCATCCCGCCACCGTGTCTGGGTCGTGGGCCAGAGGCTACTTTGCTGTTGGTTGGGATCTCGTGTTTGGTCGGTTCGGGGTCTTTGGGGGGCAGTTCTGAAACTTCTCGGAGCCTCTGGGGGCAGCTGCGGGGCATGTTGAAGGCACTTTGGCAATTCTTGGGGGCCTCTTTTGGGCCCCAGGGCCTCCTGGGTGCCTCTTGGAGCTTCCTGGGGGCCTCTTGGGGTATCCATTACAAGCATGTTACTACACTTCCCGGCGGGAATTTCCAGCGACTAAAAAGTTGTTGTTTTCGTTTGTGTTGTAACCTGGGCTGCTGGTGCTGCTGCTGCTGCGACTAAAAAGTTGTCGCTACTGCTGGTGCTGTGCTGCTGGCGCTGCTGGTGCTGCTGCTGGTGCTGCTGGTGCTGCTGCTGCTGCTGGTGCTGCTGCTGCTGGTGCTGCTGCTGGTGCTGCTGCTGGTGGTGCTGGTGCTGCTGGTGCTGGAGCTGGTGCTGCTGGTGCCGATGCCCTCGGGGGCCTGTGACAGGGAGCCCCCGAGGCTTTCCGAATCGCCGAAGAGCTCACCAAAGAGTCCAAGAAGGCGCTCATGAGGTTCCGAAGAGGGCCCCAAGGGGCTTCCGAAAAGAGGCACAATCGTGCATATACTTTGTGTCTCTTTTGAAGGCTCTCTTGGAGCTCTCTCGCAGCCCTGCTGGGGTCCTTTCGGAGCCCTTGGGGGCCTGCTGCAGGGAACTCCCGAGGCTTTCCGAATACTCGAGGAGCCTCCAAGGGAGCCCAAAAAGGTTTTCCCCACAAGAAACACAATCGTGCATATACTTTGTGCCTCTTTTGGTTGCCCTCTCGGAGCCCTCTTGGAGGCCTGTTTTAGGCACCTCCCGAAGCTTTCCGAATTCCCGAAGAGCACTTAGGGAGTCCAAGAAGGCCCCATAAGGGGCCGGGGGGGGGCAAAGGGCTAGCAAAAAAGATGCAGACTCATGCATATACTTTGTGCCTCTTTGGGGGGCCCTCTTGGAAGCCTGTGGGGGCCCGTTCGGGGCCCTCGGGAGCCTGTTACAGGGAGCGCCCGAGGCTTTCCGAATCGCCGAAGAGCCTACCAGGGAGTCCAAGCAGGCGCCCTTGAGGGTCCGAAGAGGGCCCCAAGGGGCCTTGAGGGCTCTCTTGGAGCTCTCTCGGAGGCCTGCTGGGGTCCTTTCGGGGGGCCTGCTACAGGGAGCTCCCGAGGCTTTCCGAATACCCGAGGAGCCTCCAAGGGAGCCCAAGAAGGCCCCACGACGGTCCCCAAGGGGGCCCCTACAAGAAGCACACTAGTGCATATACTTTGTGCCTCTTTTGGGTGCCCTCTCGGAGCCCTCCTGGGGGCGCAAGAGGGCGCGCAGGAGGGGCAAGAGTGGAAGCAGCAGAACGCCGCTGGAGGCGCAGGATCTGAAGACAGCCTGAGGATAGCCCCAGAGGCTTCCAAGATGGCCGAAAAGCGACCGAACAGAGTCGAAAGACAACGCCAGAGGCTTCCAAAACGGTCCACGAGGCTCACAGTATTGGTCTATGACAGAGCGTTGCTGGTGCCGTGGGCGAGGTCGCGCGCACGAATCGGCGGATTTGTGCGCCACTTTTTGGGCAGAAGGCGTTCCAAGTTGCGCATAGGCTAGTCCAGGGCAAGGTTCCCGACGTGCATAACAGCCAGGTATGGCGGAGAGGCAGGGTGAGACGGCGGATAAAGGGATGCGAACGGGCATTCGGCTGGGGCAACTTGGGTGCAAGGTCAGTTGTGGCGTGTGCCGATTAAGAAGCAGCGCCACTCACAGTGGACCTCGTTGTCGGACTGCCAAGCCATTTGCCAAGCGCATATGGCCAAGAATCGTTCTAGATTCGAGAAAGACATCCTATGAGGACGGCTGTGCATTGAGTCGCACAAGGTGGGCTCAGATTGTTCTGCGGCCTGTGCCGGCATGGTTCCTGGCCTCTGTACGACGAGCCAATGCCCACCCGCAGTGGGGGTCCTGAAGAGGTACGCTCCAATGTGAAACGCAGCCTCAGGACAGGAGAAGTCAGTGAACGGGTCTTGCAGACGTTCTTGAATTTCTCCGGGGGTCATTGGGAGCACGGCAAGATCGACGTTGCTGAAGTTGGCGTGGAGCACCGCAAAGTCGTAATTGCTTCCAAGGGGGTCCATGAGATTCCCTCGGCGGTCACCGGTGCCCACGGACAAGGCCGTCCGCTCGAAGTGTTGTCTAGAGATGGGTGAAAAGGGCATGTTGTGCGAGTGCATGGTGCAGGACACAGCCGCATGGTTGAACGCGTGGAGCCCGCACGTGCTTCCCGTCTGCTTTCTGGCGCTTGTAATGGCACCCGTTCCCGGGGAGTTGAACCACGACGGTGCCGTTGGGTAGGGGGGTAATGGCGTCGGTTGGGGCAGGTCGGTGTCGATGTGCATCAGCCACCTCGGTGTCGGTGGTACGGCTGGCGTCGGTGTGCCCTGTGACGTTCCCACGGGATGGTCACGGCCCTTGGGTGCAGGTAGTAGCGGAGGGGGCATCTGGTCTGCAGGCGTAGTCTTCCTGGATTTCGTGGGAGGCGGGGCATCGTTGGTGCCTTCCGTCGAAGAGGAGCTAGTCTTGTGCTTTTTGAGGTCGCCCGTGGGTGTGAGCGTCTGCGGTTGATGTCGTTTGTGGGGCGTGGGTTTGGTAGGTGTTGTCGCGTCGTCAGCGGGGTTTGGCGCTGCGGTCGGGCGCATCGCGGCGAAGGTCGTGCATTGGCGTTTCGTGGCGTGTCCGACGCCAGGGTCGGTCTTGGGAGCGGTAAGGTTCGTGGGCCTCGTGTTGGGTGGTGGGGGTGGCCGCTGCGCTTGTGTTGTGGGGTGGGCGTCGGGTTGTTCGGTGGGAGAGGCAGTTGCCTCTTCCAATGGATGGGATGGTCGGAGTTGGTTGGCGTGGGTGGTGGGCATCTTGGAGCACGCTTCGTCCCAGGCCTTAGCGTCGTAGATGCAATGTCGGTCAGTAGGCGAAAGTTTCGTAGCCAGAGGTGCGTGCTCCCAAAGTGGGAAGATCTTTAGCGCACGACGCGCGGCTTCAATGGAGGGCTTCGTTCTCGCAGCACGGCGTTCTAATTCATCGAGACATGCCACCAAGTAGTCAGGAGGGCCTTCCTCAAACCAATGCCAATCGAATTCGTTGCCGTCGGCGTCGGGCTCAGGCAAGCGGGGGGAGTTTTCGAACAGGGACCGCGATAAGCGCTGAGATCTTCCGAGAATCATGTACAGGTGCTGCTTGTATTCGGGGTCACTCATATAGTCGGGCTTGCGCAAGTCGATGGTGTGACCGATGGGCTGTCCGCTGGGCCCGCGGACGGTTTTGCCTTGCATGCTCTGAAATGTTCCGACGCGTTCTGGCGCGGTGGGAAGTTGGCATCGGGTCATGTGGACGTCGTGTTTCTGGAGTCGGTGCGTTGGCATGGCTCGTGGGTGGTTCACCGTGGCACGGACCTGCCATTGGAAAGTCCACGTGTCATGTGTTGGTTCCAGATGCCACACGCCAGGCTTGTTCAGACCGGTGTAATCCTCTGTGGCGTCGTCAGCGCGGAACTCCACATGACGCGGCAAGCGGTCCAGGAGGACCCAACCTGTTTGCCAGCAAGGGTGGTCCGGAGGTGGACATCGTGGACGTCCGCGGGCGATGCCCCTGCCGAAGGCCTCCTCATCGTGGAATGCAATGCCGACGATTTCTCCAGGCGCTTCCTGGACGAGCTCTGGCGCTAATATTTTCTTTGTGAGCTTCGCCCGCATGCCGAGATACAAAGGTCCGCCGGCCACTGGTGTTCAGCGGCCACGCGGCGCTGCAAACTTGATGACGCCTGGGCGCCCGTTCTACCGCGTGGGCTTGTCAGTGGAGGAGGGGTCAGTGCGGAGGTCCACTCACTGTGTGTGCGTGTGAGCGTGGGGGTGCTTTGGGAAGAGCTTGCCTGCGGCGGGATGAAAATGTAGGTTTCGGAAAGGAAAGACACGGTTTGATGAGCTTCCCCTGGCTTGGGACTTGGGAGCGGCGGACGGCGGCAGCCGTTTGAAGAGCATACCCATGAGTCCTGGAGTCTTGGAGCTCATGTTTGCCACTTGGAGTGCGTCCGTGTACATGTCTGGACGTGACCTGTAAACGGCCTGGTGCGGGATGTCGACAGCTTGGACGTAATAGAGTAGCTGTCCGCAAGGCTGGAGGTAGCGATGTACGCGGTCGCTGACGGCGGGCAGCCAGAGCGCTCCTCGAAGCGTGTCACTGGAGAAGAGTCGGTTGCATAGTGCCGGGGGGAAGCCCCAGCGAATGCACTGCGGCGACCCTCTGGTAGAGTTGCGCGAAGCGACTGGGCCTCCACTTAAGGGGGCAGACAGTGCAGCCCACAGTTGTTGTTTACGGCCAACGGTCTCCCAGTTGATGGCGGAGTGGTACCCTTGGGCGAAGAAGCCAGGCATGGCAGTGGGAGCGCCGGACTGGTCGTGCAGAATGTAGGACGGGTCGGCACGCTGGTCGACGTCGCGATGCAATACGCATCGAGCGGCGAGTTGCTCTTTCAGGGAGGGCGGCAGTTTTTGCCCCCCAGGTGTGCGCATGATCTTGAAGATTTCTGGTAAGGGATCCCCTGGCACGAAACGGTGGCACCCGTGGAAGAGGATAACTGGCTCCGAGAGCCTATCAAAGATGTCCCAGCCTTCTTTGTCGAGACGCTCCTTCTCAATGCGCTGGTCTTTGTCCATGCCGTCGTAAGTGGGAGCGCGGGGCATGTGTATTGCAGTGCCGCGCAGAAATGTCTGCAGTAGCGAATGCGTTCGGACGGGGTTCAGTTGCATGAAGTCCCCCATGACGATCTGCGCGAGTATGTTCCCGAAAGTTGTTTCCGTGAACGACGTAGGGTCAAGGTTGTGGGAGCCGTGGCGTCCCCAATTCGCTCTTGCGTTAAGGACAGTCAACAGTTGAGGGTCAGCTAAGCTCGCCTCGTCGATCATGGCCAATACGAGGTGGCCCCAAAGGTGTTGCATTTTCTCCTGGGCTTGTCTGGAAGGACGCTTGCGGGTGAGAGTCTGCTGGCGAGTCAGGCCTGCCATGAAATGGGAAGTGGCGCCACCAATGAGCCGCGCAGCGCTGTTCTGAGCCGCGAACCCGCGGGTGCAACCGGGGAAGAAGTGATCATATACAGGTAGAACAACTTGAGTCATGAAAAAGGTTTTGCCGGATCCTCCAGGGCCGTGCAGGAAGACGCGCTGCACGAGTCTGGTGGGAACGTCCATGAGGAGCTGCCGTCTGCCAGCGCTTGTTCGGGAGTCGGCAAGCTGTCCGCGGCCTGCTGCAAAGTCCCACAGCGCTTGGAGCGGTGATATACAGAAGAGCGTGGCCTCGTATTGATCTTGAGGAATGCGGTAGGTGTCGGTATGCCCGACGCGGTGGGGCAGTCGTTCAGCCATCAGTTGTCGCGCGTACGTGGCGGGGGAGCAGCCCCAGGGCGTGTCTGGGAGGAACGCTGTTTCCAAAGGAGTCTCGTCGTCGTCGTCGGGGGTCTCGGCGTGGCCATGTCCAGGTGGTGCGACGCGTACCTCCCGTTCTTCTTGGGCGGCGCGCTCTTCTCGCATGCGTCGTTGCCTGTGTGAGTTTGGGGGAGGGCATCGTTGCGGGTATTGCGAAAGGAGAATCGGAGAGGATTACGAGTTCAAAGGCAGTGGAGGTTCGGAAGGAGGGAAAGACTTGAAGAAGGAGCGGGGAGAAATAATTATGGTAGGGAGGGCGCGGAGCCTCTGTATGGCGAGGTTGTCTGCGGCAGGTGTGTGCTGCGACCCAGCCCGAAGAGTAGGGGTTGTAGTCCGAGGCTCGCGGAGGTGCTCGTAGAGGTGGGCCTTTGCGTTGAGGAACTCCTGGATGCGAAGAAATCTGTCGCCCGACCGTTTGTCCAATTTTCCAGCAGAGAGATGTCGGTGCACGACGTCCAGCACGTCGGAGTCACGTACACGCACGTGTGGTTTGTATTGGACACCGGTTGGGGTGTCGCGCTCGGTGCCGTCGTCGCATTCGGGGTCTGCGCCAGCGGGGTCTCCGATGTCGCCCACGTCAGCCCTGGCGGCCTGCAAGCCAAGGTGCGCGTCATCATCAACGAAAGCTCCTTTATGCAATAGTGCAGGCCGTGGCCGTTTTCGGGCCTCGGCCATGAAGTTCCAGTTAGCGCTGCTCTCGACCGTAATTAGCGCGAAGAACTCTTTCGGAGTAAGTTGTTCGTCGTGCACGCCGAAAGAGGTGAAGGGTGCAGTGCTTGCTGCGTCCTGGGTGGGGTCAGCTACCTGTGCGCGAGTGTTGTCGAGGCCGGGGGTATTGCCTAATCGTAAGGCTTCGGCGTTGTAGTCGATGACGTCGGAGACGAAGCCGAGAATCCTCCGAGCGACGTCGGGTGGGAACGGCCGGAGGAAGCCTGCGGGCTGGCCGTCGTGCTGGGCGTGGTGCGTCCGAACGAAAAGCTTCCTCGAGGACGGAACGCGTGCACCGGCAATGCGTGGTGCTCTGCAATGCAGCGCGCCTCCCCCGGACCATGGTCCAACGTAGCAGTGCCGGTACGCTCCACAAAGCCACGGGAGCAACCAGTCGTGGACCATGCAGTGAGTCTGGGCCCCGTCGACCATCCATGACCGAAGGGCCGTGGCATCGAGAAGAGTAGGAACACGGCGAGCACGCTGTAGTTTGGCATCGGCGCGTTGGGCCAGTGTGATTTGTTCAGCTTCGAAAGCTCGCCACGGTTCCACGAAGCGGTCCATGCCTTTGCGCGGGGTTGCCGTACGTGTCGGTCGAGTGTGGCCGTGCAGGGTGTCAGTTTTGGCGGAGGTGGCATGTGCGAGGTAACGACTAGAATGATCAGTAGGACTTCTGCAGCACTCTTTGTTTTGGCACCGCGTTGGTCTGAACAAGGTTTGCTGCATCATCGCATGGGTGGAAGCGTCGGAAGCCTGCGTAGGCAAGGTGATACCATGTAGGTACGGTGTCCGCGGCGATTCCAGAAGAGTCTGTACAGTAGTCGCCGCTTTGCAGTAGTGGGCCTCAAAGGGGAAGTGCTTGATGCCGCGTAGCTCTGCTTCAGCGCGCGGGCAGACGTGGACGTACATGGCATAATGGTAGTACCCCATGCTGGCAAAAGGTTCTAAGGGGCCTCGGTGCAACCAATCATCGTAGAACGCATCCGTGGACAGGCGCACTGCGGGGTCTTCCGCTGGGGTGGTGAAGGTGGCCGCGGTCGGGGGACACCTTTCGGGAAGGGGAGGGGGGGTCGGCGCAGGACGCAACAGCTGGATGTTGGACAACTTGTGGTGGGTTTCAGGCGGTGCGTCGGCGGCTCCAGTCTCCAATTGCCTCAGGGTTTCCCGAGCGGACCAGACCGGGCGTTTCATCATGACTCGCCAGTGCTGGTGTGTTCGGATAGTTTCCCGTCTTGTTAAAAGTTGGAGAGCCATCAAACAGCATCCCTTCATGATGGCATGGTTCGCCGAGGACCAGAGTCGGATGAGGCGTCGGCGTGCCTCATTCTGCGAGCTTGATAGGGGCGTCGGGTCTGCGTGTGCGGTGCCCACCAGAGCGCCAGGTCTGCAGTCTGCGTTGTGGACGGCACCCTTCTGGAGGTAAGCTTTCATAGCTGCGGTGTCGTGCTCTTTTTTCATCTGTGCCTCGAGCTGTTCCATGCCGTGCGTGAGATGCTGCAGAAGAGGCACACATGTCATGTTCGGCTTCGTGTTGTAGTCGCAAGTGTAGAAGCTCGTCTGGATCCCACTGCGGATGGACTCGACCACTGAGTAAACGAGGTTGGTGCGCATAGCCAGTGCCTCAGAGCTGAGGACAGCGTCCCCGACGCGACGTCGTTCAGCAGCGCCGTGTCTGGGACAGGAGACGAAGCACGTCTGCTTGCAGCAGAGCAGGAGCATTGTTGTCGTCGGCGGCGGTCCCAAGAACGAGGATACCACCCGATGGGCGGCAGCATCGGCGTACCGTCCGTTGGTGGCATGGTGAAATCGGCCGATCTCCGGTAAAAGGAGATGGGAAGAGTGAGGGTCCTGGCGGCCCGAAGGTGAGTTCCGAGAGAGCCCAAGATGGCCTCGCCCTCAGTGTCGATTCCCTGGGTGTTCGTTTGGGCGGAGTGGGTTCCCAATGGAAGGCCTCATGAGGGTTCTGGTTGCTGCCTGTAGAGTCCCTTGGTGGACTTCGGGGTGAGCTCAGCACTGTGCCATGCGAGGCTCGAAATGAGCACAGCACGGCATCATTCGAGGCATGTGAAGTACTTGACAGACGGAACCAAGATGGCGTGAAGACGGCTCCAAGAAGGTGGGGTGCGAGAAAGCTTAAGATGGCCCCGCCCTCAGAGTGCTCGTAGGGGTGAGATGCGAATCAGAGAACAGCCAAGAAGTGGACCCCTGGAGGAGTTTTGCGTCGGTTCCCTGGTTGTCCGTGTGGGCCAAGTGGGTTCCCAGTGGGAGACCTCATAAGGGTTCCAGTGAGTGTCTTCAGAGTTCTTGGTGGCCTTCGGGGTGAACTCAGCACGTTGCCATGGGAGCCTCGAAGTATGCACAGCAAATCGTCATTCGAACCATTTGACTTACTGAAGCCGTGTGAGGTGAGCTCAGCACGCCACCATGCGAGCCACCAGCTCGGAGTCCCTTGGGGGCCGTCGGGGTGAGCTCAGCACGTTGCCCTGCGAGCCTCGAAGTGAGCACGGCACGGCATCATTCGAGGCATGTGAAGTAATTGACAGACGGAACCAAGATGGCGTGAAGACGGTTCCAAGAAGGTGGGGTGCGAGAAAGCTTAAGATGGCCCCGCCCTCAGAGTGCCCGCAGGGGTGAGATGCGAATCAGAGAACAGCCAAGAAGTGGACCCCTGGAGGAACTTTGCGTCGGTTCCCTGGTTGTCCGTTTGGGCCAAATGGGTTCCCAGTGGGCGGCCCAATAAGGGTTCCAGTGAGTGTCGTCAGAGTCCTTGGTGGCCTTCGGGGTGAGCTCAGCACGTTGCCATGCGAGCCTCGCAGGGAGCACAGCACAACATCATTCGAGGCATATGACGTAATTGTAATTCAAAAGCGGATCGAAGACGACGGTAAGACGGCTCCAAGAAGGTGGCCCCCGAGAATGGTTAAGATAGCCTCGCCCTTGGAGGGCCCGTAGGGGTGAGATGTGAATTAGAGAAAAACCAAGAGGTGGACCTGAGAAGGAGCATTGTGTCGGTTCCCTCGTTGCCTGTTTGCGTCAAGTGGGTTCCCAGTGGAAGGCCTCATGAGGGTTCCGGTGAGTGTCTTCCGAGTCCCTTGGTGGCCTTCGGGGTGAGCTCAGCACGTAACCAAGATGGCGTGAAGACGGCTCCAAGAAGGTGGGGTGCGACAAAGCTTAAGATGGCCCCGCCCTCAGAGTGCTCGCAGGGGTGAGATGCGAATCAGAGAACAGCCAAGAAGTGGACCCCTGGAGGAACTTTGCGTCGGTTCCCTGGTTGTCCGTTTGGGCCAAATGGCTTCCAGTGGGAGGCCTCATAAGGGTTCCAGTGAGTGTCTTCAGAGTCCTTCGTGGCCTTCGGGGTGAGCTCAGCACGTTGCCATGCGAGCCTCGCAGGGAGCACAGCACGGCATCATTCGAGGCATATGAAGTAAGTGTAATGCAAAAGCGGATCGAAGACGACGGGAAGACGGTTCCAAGAAAGTGGCACCCGGGAATGGTTAAGATAGCCTCGCCCTTGGAGGGCCCGTAGGGGTGAGATGAGAATTAGAAAAAAACAAAGAGGTGAACCTCAGAAGGGACATTGCGTCGGTTCCCTCGTTGTCCGTGTGGGCCAAGTGGGTTCCCAGTGGAAGGCCTCATGAGGGTTCCGGTGAGTGTCTTCCGAGTCCCTTGGTGGCCTTCGGGGTGAGCTCAGCACGTTGCCATGCGAGCTTCGAAGTAAGCACAGCAAGTCATCATTCGAACCATTTGACTTACTGAAGCCGTGTGAGGTGAGCTCAGCACGCCACCATGCGAGCCACCAGCTTTGCAGAGGCTGCGCGCGTGAAAGGGAGTGGAAGGAAAGCGAAGAAGGGAGCCGTTACATAATGCATTGGAAGACGGGTCCAAGACGGCGTGAAGACGGCTCGGAGCCTTTCGGATAGGAATTTCAAGCTACGCAGACCATCGCGGTGCATGTGCAAGATGGGCGGAAGTCCTGCTCGCTGAGTTAGCGGGGTATCCAGCCGAAGGTAATCCTCGGAGTTGTCGTACTCATACCCGTCCGTGAGGGTGCGGCGACAATCCTGGTAATCCAAATTCCCTCTGTGCGCAACCTTTCCTGCCATTGTCGTGCTGCCCTCTCTGGGGTTGAACCGCACTGTATTGATGCGCCCACGGCGTGCCTGCCTGTCGTCGGTCTCGACGCTGGCACCAAGGGAGCCATCGGTGAACAATCGAGTGTCGGCCAGGATAGGCATGGACTGGGTGTCTACAGGAGGCTGGCCACGTATTCGTGGCAGCAGTGGTTCCTTTCCCACGCGGGCCAGTAGCCGTTCTACAATCCGCTCCTTGGCTTCACCTTGACCTGGGCTGTCGGTGGTGGACGGCAGCCAGAGTCTGACGAAGTGCACGAATCCGAAACGGCAGTGTTGAGGCTTGCGAGAGATGCCATCCTCCATGTACTTGAAGCATGTGTCATGGTGCTGATGGATGTGGCCGCTGAGGCTGCTGATGTCCCAGTGATCTTCTGCGAATGCAGCCGCGTAAGCCGCAGCCTCGGCCCGCGTAGTCGCATCGTCGTGGGTGGCGGTCGCGAAGACCTGAGACCTCGCCGCGCAGCCGACGCATGGGCACGATGGTTGCTTTTCTGGGAGGATGCGGTAGTGCGGGAGCTTTGAAAGTGTCGCGCCTGTCAAAGGAAGGGCGCGTTCTCGAACTGGGGTGCCTGTGTTCGCGTCGCGCAGCGTCTGTAGGTAGCGTTGGACATGATGGTCGACGAAGGCGGGCGCTGGAGGAACCAGAAGTCGTCGCCTGGTAGGGCCCTTGCGGTCGCCCTCGAGGTCGCCGTCGAACTTGTCCTCGCGCTGCCACCTCTCAAGGTAAGGTGTGCTTTTGAGGGGTGGAGCCTCTGAGGCGTGGTCCACGAAGTGGAGTGGGACAGTAGCGGAAGATGTAATCTGTAAGACCTCGACGGCTTGGAGCACAGCGCGCTGCCAACGTTGCAGAGTCGATCGCGCCTCGGCTGTGTCTTTGCGGAGGACGGAGCGCAACCATGATTGAGACGTTCGGTTGACGAAATGGAACACCATGTGGGAATGCGTGCTCAGGCGCGCTTGTTCCTCGATGGGGCCGCTCAACGATGCAATCATGTTCATCCCGCCTCCCACGGCGGAAGCTGCGTAACCGTCAGGAAAGACGACTCCGTTGGCCGCCCCATTGTGCTGGAGCAACTCGTCGAAAGGCCCAGTTCCCAAGATATGTTCGCAGAACAATCGCATGCTGAACCGCGGACCCGGTACTGTCGGGTGCTCGGTGGCGTAGTGTAGACGATGGAGGTGATAACGGCGAGGTATAGTGAGGCCAAGGCGGAGGGGGCAATGAGGGGGCCAGGGTGGCGCTCGAAGGAGGTGGTTGGTGGGCTAGGTATTCCACGCGCTGGCCGTCTCTCGGCCTGCGGCTGAGTCTGCGTAGGGGTGAGTAGGGGTGGGGGGGGGCGGGGGAAGCCACAGCCAGCGCTGTTTGACAGACGTGTTTGAGAATCGGCGATGCGGAAGGGTCGGCGGAAGGTGCCGAAAGCTCGGAGATAATGAAGAACCTCGCTTGCGCAACAGGGTCTTTGGCGATTATTTCTAGCATCCTTTGCGCTGTTGGCATCGTTGGGTTCTCGTCGAGGAGAGAGATGGAGTACCTTTCCGTGGCGCCGTCGTCATCGAGTCCTGGAAGGGGCGGGGGCCTGACAACTGCTGAATGCGTGGAGGGTGGGTGTGGAGACGCTAGGGAGGGAAGTTTATGGCAGGGCAGGCTTCCAGTTTTTGAGCGGTGCGGAGATGTGAGAAACATGGGGGAGAACCTAGGATGGGGGAGAGGGAGGAGCGTCTTCGAGCAGAAGTCGGTCCTCCGCTGGTGTGGTTGAGGGAACCGGCATGCAGGATCACCACTAAAGGGTTCCGGGTGTCTGCAACGTTCGGGGTGAGGAAGCCACCTATGCCACCGAATCGGAGCATGTCCCCCATCTGCTCGTGGCGAAGCTGTTGACGAGCACCCTCGGAACCGACAACGTCGCTGCTGAAGAAGAGGAGGTTGCGCACGGCCTCCCGCAACGAGGCGGGAGCGTTGTCAGAGAGCAAGCACTCACGGAATCCGGCTCTATCACCCATGGAGTCGAAGGCGGATCGGAGTTGGGTTCCCGTGGCCTGGCAGACGAGATTGACGCTGGTTTGGAAACCTCTTCGTCGTACGTGGGCCCCGGCTCGTCGCGTGAGCTCCATCCTGCGCCAGGAGTCGTACAGGACGCATAGGAAGTCGAGATCGGCGCCCCAGCGTGGTTGGGCTGGTGGGACGAACGGCGTGGTTGCTCTGGCGCATTGCGCACACGGTCGAGCGCCGCGCTTTATGAGAGGGCAGTCATGTGGCAAAGCTTCGTGGACCTGATAGCGGAGCTCAGCACGTAGCAGGAGCACGCGACACCATTGCTGGAAAGACAGCGGGCGGCGTCGGTCGATGCCGTAGACGCCATCCCCGTACGGAAACAGGTGGGGAAAAGCTTTTTGCCAGAATTCTTTGTCGTACATGGAGAGGGGCCGTTTGCCGGTAGGAATGGCCCAAGTTCCGTCAGGGTGTTGCCGGGCGCCAGGCTCTCGGCTTTCTGCCGCTTCCATGGCCTGTAAAGTGCTGTCCAACTGCTTGCGGTATTCGTCAGAATTCATGTATTTTGCCAAGGCCTGCAAAGACTCAATCTCGGTGGCGACGTCGGTTGTGTGTGCATCTGTGGAAAGTTTGGAGGATAGGAGCTCCAGCTTGGCGGCGAACTCGCAAGCTGCTCGGTCAGCGTCCAGCGCACCCGTGGAGAAGTCGGTTGCGGCGCAGTGGAGGTTGACGTCGTCGGAGTCGGGGTGAAGGTCGTCGGCGGTGTCTGGGCGTACAGGCGGTGGTGCGGTGTCGGGCTCGACGTGGGGCGTCGGTCTTGCGGTAGGATCTTCCATGGCTCTCCCGTCCTCTGTGATGATGCTTTCTGGCACGGGGATTTCGGGTGCGTCGAGCGTGGCAGGTCCAGGGATGAGGTGCGGCGTATGTGTGGTGGCCTCTACGCGGGTGGCTTGTTGGAGAACCTCTGCGCAACTGTGTCCTGCTTCTTGGAGTCGTCGTGCGGCTTCATTCTCGTCAATGTCGAGTGCGTGGTAAGCCTCCGAGTGCGCCACGCAGAAACGCACTGCCGTCATGTATGCTTCTCGAGGGACTTCAGCCCACGTAGCTTTATCCAAGTCGTCTACGGATGCCCCCGCAAGTGCGATGGAGAGGCCGTCGGCGAAGAACTGTTGAGAAACCTCGGGTTCGGCAGGTAGGGCTTGTGTCACGAGCTCTTTGGCGTAAGCCTGCGGGAAGCAAATGGAATTGCTACGCAACCCCTTCTGCTTCGTGCGGGGATCTGCCTTCTTTGTCTTCTCGGCGATTATTTTCCGAACGAGCATGCGGGCGAGGGCGAGCATGGCGAACGTCATGGGGGACAGCTTCGCACCGTTTTTTCGGAATGCGACAGGTTCTCGCAAGATGAGGTTGTCGTTAGCCAGAGCGTACCGAGGGAGGAGGGGCGTTTTCTTGGAGAGGTCGAGCCTGCAGCTAAGGCACGTGGGTATGGAGGGGAAGCGCCCCTCAGAGTCCGGCTGCAGTGTGTTGTCCCGGAGTAGGCCGGGGCCACCGTCCATGGAGACAGGGATCGATGTGGTGTCCAGTATCCAACGGCAGGCGGTACCGTCGGAAGCCGTGGCCCAAGGGTGCACGACGCTTGTGCCGTAAACCTCTGCTCGGGGCAGGGTGTGGTGGCCCCCTGATGATTCGGGAGCCCGCCATCGGTCCATGTAGGCATCTGCTGAGAGGAGGTCGTTGAGTTTGCGTGCGCGAGAGTGCACCTGGGCGTAGCTGCGTTGGACTTGACCATCATCGCCGTCGTAATCCTCGTCGAGGTCTGGGCGAGGCCCGTTTGTAGAGCCTTCGGCGGGCCGCGGGTCGAACAGCTCGAACTCTTCGAGGTCTTCCTTCCAGAATATCATGGCGCACACAGCGCAGCTGGATAGACCCCGCTCTTGGCCGTTGTGTAGTGGAAGGTCGTGGTTGATCTTGTGCGTTCCAGGGTAGCTGTGCGTCTGATGGCGTGCGTGCGCGCTGACGGCACGTCGAACTTCTTGTCCTGCGACAGGAAACGGGCCGTCACGCTCCTCGTAGTAGAAAACTCGCTTTCTGTACTCTTCCTCGAGGCGCACGGCGTCGAGGCCGGCAACACTGCAGTGAGCCTCGGGCAGGTGCTCGGCGAGGCCGCCATTCCCGAGTGGGGGGAGCGCGGGGAGCAAGTAAACCGAGACGAAGAGGTACAAATTGGAGGGCATGTGCGTAGATGGGGTGTGTCGCAGAAAGCAGGAGGGGGGTAATGAAGAGGCCTTGTGTATGTAGTGGGTGAGGTGGGCGTGCAGATCACACGACGCGCGCAGGCGAGGGGGGGGCATGAGTGGCACGAATGCAGTTGTGGCGGGGGGGGGGGGGGGGGAAAGCGGAAAAAGCCACAGGCGTGCTGCATAACGAACCCTTGGAGTCGCAGCCATGACCACAGAGGTAGCACGCGACGGGGGCGCCACAGAGTGGCAGCCGAGAGAAGGAATGCCGAGTGCCGTTGTCACGCAGGAGGTGGGCTGGAAGGTAGGAGTCGCATATCGCCGTCTCAGTCCAGATATCGCGGCCCAGCTGCCTTTCCCATTCCCGAACCTCCTCTTCGGAGAGCTGGGCTCGGAAGAGAACCTTGCGGTTCAGAGCTGGGTGGAATCTGTGCTGGTCGCCAAACCGAGCCTGTCGGGTGACTGCCAGTTGACGCGCCAGCTCCGCTTCATTGTATGCTTGATTTTGTCCCCGGTGGGTTCGAGCAGCAGGTAGCCTCTGGTTCGCGTCTTTGAATGCGACAATATCGTCGAGCAAAGTGTCCTCTTCCCAGTCGAATGTCTCGGAGGTGTCGGGCAGGGAGTTCAAAAGGTCTACGGTGGTTTGCCACGCAGCACGCTCTTCTGGGGATAGTGGCGTCCTGGGTGTCCAAGATGAACCCATTCGGGGGATCTTTGTGCGGGCAGCAAGGGCGTGATGTAGACATTTGCGAAGTAGACGCTCCTGTCGAAGGCGTGGCTGGGGTGGGCGACGGTGGTCGTTGATGAAGTTGCGCAGTGCAATGGCCAAGTCTGTTTGGGAAAGCCTCGCGTACGTGACTTCGTATATGAGGTCAGACCGGGAGGAATCCCGGGAAGACGTAGAGGATAAGCGGAGGACGCTCCGGGCGGCCTCCTGGTGCAGAGTGTCGCAGGGGCATGTCCGTAAGGCGTGCAAATCGTCCGCTGTAATCGGCAGGGTGACGTAGAGCTCGGTGTCTGCCAGGATTTGTTTCGCACGTTGCCGACGATGTCTTCCCAGATCGGCGGAGTCAATGTCGTAGGCGAGGCACCGCGCGTCGAGGGCGGGGTCGAGCGCATCGTCGCTGTGCGTGGACTGCAAAGGGCAAGTGTCGAGAGCGAGCTGGAGTAAGGAAGGCCAGACGTCTGGATGTTGCTGAGCCCACTGCACGACGGCGGAGAGGCGGAGAGGTTGTTCCCAAATTGGGATGCGCAGCAGCGCGTGGACTTGATGGACGATCTTCTCGATGTATTCTTGTAGGTGAGCGGCGCAAAGTTGCTGGCCGAAAGGTATGCCGAGTGCTACGCACCAGGCCGTGATAGTAACAGGGGCTTCAGTGCGGGAGGTGTGGAGTTTCCACGTGGGCAGCCAGTCGCGCAAGCGCCGTTCCCAGTCTTCCGGATGCTGACGAGCCCAGTGCTTTATGAAGGCTGCGTCGAGGTGGTCTGGCCACTGAGGCTCTGCTCGCAAAGTGGCGGTTGCCTGCACGATTTGGTCAATGTACTGCGGGCGCAGATCGTTGCGGAAGCCCTTGAACGAGATCGAGAGAGCGGAGCACCAATCTTCGATGGTGATGTCCTCAGGGCCCCGTTGTTTTTTCGCGGGCTTCCAGACAGAAAGCCCGCGTCGTAGTATGTGCTCCCACTGTGGCGGGGCTGCGTGAACCCAATCTTGGACGAAAGCTCGCGTGAGCGATGTTGGCCACTGTGGCCAAGTGGCATCGGAGGTACGTGCTGGCGTGGTTGTCGTCGCAGGTGTTTCCAGAAGGGCAGCAGTGGCAGCTGCAATGCGGTCCACGGCTTCTGGACGATGGGCCTCGTCGTATCCGGGCAATGGGAGGTGCAAGGCGACGCACCAATCTTCGACAGAGGTTTCGTGAGCGGTCCGATGGTTGGACGCCATGGGGCACGAGGACAAGTTTTGTCGTAGTGCGGGTTCCCAGCTGGTGCCGTGTCGCAGCGCCCATGCGCGAATGAAGGCACGATTGAGGTCGCGTGGCCATTGTTGAAGGAGCGATCGTGCTGCGGTCAAAATGCGCTGAGTGTACTGGGCCCGTAAGTCGTTTCGGAACCCCTTGAAGGGCACTTCCAGCGCGACGCACCAATCCTCGATTGTAATGTCGGAGGTGCCTTGCCGCTGCTTTTTACATGGCTTCCAATGTTGTAATCCAGATTCCAAGGAAGCTTCCCACCCGGTCCCGCGTTCCTGAATCCACGTGACGATGAAGTTGGATGTCAGTGTAGCAGGCCATCGCTTGGGCAGGCTGACTGCCGTTGCGGAGCGGCGGACCGGTTCGCGTGCGGCTGTGAGGACGTGTTCGATGTACTGGGGGCGCAAGTCATTGCGGTAGCCTCTGAAGGGGATGTCGAGGGCGAGGCACCAGTCCTGCAGCGTAATGTCGCTGGTGCCCTTTCGGTCTTTCTTGTAAGCCTTGCATGTGCGGAGTTCTCCCGACAAGGTTGTCTCCCAGGCAGGGCCGGGGGCGGCAACCCATTTGGAAATGAAGGCTGGTGTCAGTGTAGCTGGCCATCGCGTCGGCGTGGTCATGGTTCGTCGGGAGTAGGAATGTGTCAGTTCCAGTGAGCGCGCATGCCCAGGGAGAGCGGGCGCCTAGTCGGACCGAGACGGCAACGGTTGGACGGCGCTCTGGGAGAGACAAGGTGGGCAGATATTGTGGTGCATGCGTTATCCGCCTCGCGTTGGAGGCTTCGGCTGTAGCAGGTGGCCATGCGAGCCACCAAATGAGCTGAGGACGACACCATGCGGGCGACTTGGGCAAGTGAAGCCGTGCGCGGTGAGCTCAGCACGCCACCATGCGAGCCACCGACATTGGTGGGGTCGTGCGTGCGCAGGTGGTTGGAGAGGGAAGGGGTGCCTAGGGTGAGCCCCACACGGGGCATACGAGCGACGAAGTGAAAACGGCACGGGACTGTGCGGTGTATCGGGGGCACGGTGGAAACGCAGTGCGGCCGAAATAGGATCCCAAGTTGTTCGTTTCAATTTTCATGGTTCCCGGGTTGTCCGTTTCAGAACTTGGCGGGGCTCGCCGAGGACGTTCAGGACGGACGGGGAAGATGAGGAACGAAGGAGCGGAGGTTTCTTGGAGGTCTCTTGGGGCTTCCTGGGGCCTCTTCGAGGGCTCCTGGGGGCCGTCCATGCGAGTCACTGGTAAAGTTCGGGGCGTGTGTGCGCAGGCCATTGGGAAAACGCTTCGACTTTCGGGTTCTGACGCGGCGAGCTCAGCACGTGACCATGCGAGCGACGATGTGGACCGAGGAGGGAATTATGGGACCCACGTACCAATGAAAGCGTTGGGGTGAGCTCAGCACGTTGCCATGCGAGCCACCAACATTGGTGGGGTCGTGCGTGCGGAGGTGGTTGGAGAGGGAAGGGGTGCCTAGGGTGAGCCCAACACAGGGCGTACGAGCGACGAAGTGCAAACGGCACGGGACTGTGCGGTGTATCGGGGGCACGATGAAAACGCAGTGCGGCCGAAATAGGATCCCACGTTGTTCGAGTCAATTTTTGATGGTTCCCGGGTTGTCCGTTTCAGAACTTGGCGGGGCTCGCCGAGGACGTTCAGGACGGGCGGGGAAGATGAGGAACGAAGGAGCGGAGGTTTCGTGGAGGTCTGCCCTCCATGCGAGTCGCTGGTAAAGTTCGGGGCGTGTGTGCGCAGGCCATTGAAAAAACGCCTCGACTTTCGGGTTCTGACGCGGTGAGCTCAGCACGTGACCATGCGAGCGACGAGGTGAACCGAGGAAGGGAGTATGGGACCCACGTAACAATGAAAGCGGTGGGGTGAGCTCAGCACGTTGCCATGCGAGCCACCCAGTGAGCTCAGCACGACACCATGCAAGCCACTTGGAAAAGTGCAGACGTGCGAAGTGAATTCAGCACGCTGCCGTGGGAGCCACCGTCATTGCTAGGCCGTGCGCGCGGAAGTGTTCGGAGAGGGAAGTTGTGCACTGGTCCAGACGGGCGACGAAGTGATCGCCGCGTGGGGCTGGGAGAGGCACTTGCGAAAGCGGGGACGCACGAAGTGAGCTCAGCACGTCTCCATGCGAGCCACTGGGAAATGTGGAGGCGTGAGTGCGTAAGGTATTAGAGAGACGCTCCGTTTGTGGGGTGCGGGGGCGGTGAGCTGAGCACGTGACCATGTTCGCGAGGAAGTGAGCTGAGCACGGCACCATGGAAGCCACTTAGAAATGTAAAGCCTGGAGGTGAGCTGAGCACGCGACCATGCGTGCCACGGACTTGGCGAGGGCGGGGTGCTGGGACGGTGAGGTCAGCACTTGACAATGAGGGGAAAGGGCTATGGGGTCTCTGTGTGGAAAGGTTCCTATATCTAGCTTGTGCGCTGGGGGCGTCTCCGGCCTTGTTGGGGCCGTCGTGGGGAGTCTTGGGGGTCTCTTGGGGGCCTCTTTCGGAGGGCCTATTGGATGCCTCCCGGGGCTGCCCTCCATGCGAGTCGCTGGTAAAGTTCGGGGCGTGTGTGCGCAGGCCATTGAAAAAACGCCTCGACTTTCGGGTTCTGACGCGGCGAGCTCAGCACGTGACCATGCGAGCGACGAGGTGAACCGAGGAAGGGAGTATGGGACCCACGTAACAATGAAAGCGGTGGGGTGAGCTCAGCATGTTGCCATGCGAGCCACCCAGTGAGCTCAGCACGACACCATGCAAGCCACTTGGAAAAGTGCAGACGTGTGAAGTGAGTTCAGCACGCTGCCGTGGGAGCCACCGTCATTGCTAGGCCGTGCGCGCGGAAGTGTTCGGAGAGGGAAGTTGTGCACTGGTCCAGACGGGCGACGAAGTGATCGCCACGTGGGGCTGGCAGAGGCACTTGCGAAAGCGGGGACGCACGAAGTGAGCTCAGCACGTCTCCATGCGAGCCACTGGGAAATGTGGAGGCGTGAGTGCGTAAGGTATTAGAGAGACGCTCCGTTTGTGGGGTGCGGGGGCGGTGAGCTGAGCACGTGACCATGTTCGCGAGGAAGTGAGCTGAGCACGGCACCATGGAAGCCACTTAGAAAAGTGAAGCCTTGAGGTGAGCTGAGCACGCGACCATGCGTGCCACGGACTTGGCGAGGGCGGGGTGCTGGGACGGTGAGGTCAGCACTTGACAATGAGGGGAAAGGGCTATGGGGTCTCTGTGTGGAAAGGTTCCTATATCTAGCTTGTGCGCTGGGGGCGTCTCCGGCCTTGTTGGGGCCGTCGTGGGGAGTCTTGGGGGTCTCTTGGGGGCCTCTTTCGGAGGGCCTATTGGATGCCTCCCGGGGGTCTTGGGGGTTCCTTGGGGCCTCTAGAAGGCCTCTTTGGGGCCTCTCGGGCGCTTCCTGGGACCTCCCGGGGGGGTTCTTGGGGCGTGGGAGAAAGTAAAGCGGAGAGAAGATGATGTCTATGGGTGTTAGGGACTCTTTTGCGCAGCGTGGGTACGAAGTGAGCTCAGCACGTCACCAGGCGAGCGACCGGCGGGGGACGGATGACCCTGTAGGGTGTATTATCTTGGTTCCTGTGGTTATGAAGCGTTTGTGGCCATCCTGGGGCCCTGTTGGTATGTTGGTTCCCGCGGTGTCCGTTTTGACGATATGAAGCGTTCGCGGCCATCCTGGGGCCCTGTAGGGGCAGTCTTGGGGCACTCTTGGGCCCTTCTGGGAGCGCTTCCTTGAGGCCTCTTGAAGCCTCTTGGGGCCTCTGGGGGGCTTCTTGGGGGCCTCTGGGAGGCCTCTCGGGGGCCTATTGGGGGGCTCTTGGGGCCTCGGGGGGGGTTCGTCGGGCGGAGAACCCAAAATGGCGGTCCCTGCCCCCCCTCTGGGGGCCCTCTTCGGGCGTGCCCGGAGCCTTCAGAGGCCGTCTTGGAAGCCTCTTCGGCCGTCTTGAGGGCGTCTTGGGGCGTCTGGGCGCTGTCTTGGGGGTCTCTGAGGCCGTATTGGGGCGATCTGTGGAGCTTCTTGGGCCGTCTTGGAGCGTCGGGAAGCCGAAAAGGGGAGAACACAAAAAACCTTCAAAAACCTAAGGAAAACTCATGATTTTTGACTCGTGGGGCTGTCTTGGGGAGCCTCTTGAAGGCCTCTGGGGGCGTCTTTGGAGCTCCTGGGGCCGTCTGGACCGCTCAGTCGGCGACTCGTGGCCCTCTTGGCACATCTTGCGGACCGTCTTGGGGTCGTCCGTGCCTTCCTGAAGCGGTTCTGCCAAATTGCGGCCGAGGTCTGCGAAGTTCCGCCGTCTTCCGCCGGCGTTCCGCGCGTGGCCGGGGCCCTGTCCGGGGGGGTCCCCCCCCAGACCCCCCCAGAGGGACACTAAACGGGAACCCCTCCGCCAGGTCGGGGAAAAAAGGACAGCAGAGCGACTGGCATCACAGCATTGTGGAACGTCAAGTACATGGACTCTGCGCTCTGCTTCGACAACTCCCCTGCGTCGAACGCAACTTGTCCGACCGCTCTATTGACCTCCGACAGGAACGCATGTCTCTCTTCTCCAAACGAAACTGCACGGCTCAGCTGGGTGTGGTCCCATCTAACTTTATTCTCGTCCCTAGCAGGGAAGAAAAAGCCCAATCTGCAGTACCGCAACTACAGGAAAATGATCCCTACGTGTACGCGTATTGATAAGCTGCAACGCCTCACCCGCACGCTCCCATACTCGACAAGCGGTAGCCGACCCCCCAAACATCTCTCGTACTGCAGATATAATCCACTCGAGCTGTAGAAACTACATCTCCATGATAGTACGTAGGACTGCAATCGAAATACGCGTTCACCGCGCACAGGTGATGTTCTTCCAATGCTTCTCTGAAAAAACTACCATTAGTGCTCTCCGTGTCCATGTTCAGCGTGCCCAACGAATCGCTCGCCTCGCTGCCCACTCTGGCGTTGGCATCCAGTAGCAACACAGGTACAGTACGTGCTGGGAGCTCATTGAGAAGGTTACGCAGCGTGTCCCAGAACTTCTTGCAGAACTTGACTGCCGCAGCGCGTCCTCGTCCACCTGGCGGCTTCACAGGTGCATAGGCCACTATAACAGTCGTGTCTGTGCTCTCCGTCTTGAAGCGAACCGCACCCACCCGCCCCGCAAGATCTCCCGTATACGACCAAATTCTTCTGACATGCGAGAGTGAAAAATATTTATCGTGAACTAGTAACGCCACACTAGTAGGCCTGCCCGATGTACCACTGCTGCGACCCCATTGAAACCGATGAAACCGTCCAAGGCGATCCTGAGCACACGGTAAATCAGTAGCCACTTGTGTACCTGAGGAGGAGGAGGAGGAGGAGGAGGAGGAGGACACCCTCCCCTCCAACTTATGGTGGTGGTTGTGGAAGACAAGCCCATCAGCATCCCTGGTGGTGGTGGTGCCGTTTCTTGTTCATCCAACCAGCCCGCTGGTCCCCCGTCCTCCAGCCGCGGCCTGGGGGGGCTCAATGTACACACCAAGCCGTCTGGTCGGCCCAAGGAGCTCGGTGCACAAAGCGCCCCGGCTTCCCAACCTGTGGGACGCCGCAGCATCTGTACGGCAGGTTCCTGTCGTGCCGGCTTCGGCGTTGGTCTCTGACACCGCGGGGATCATTCAACCTTGAGCGATCGGCCGTTTCATAAACGTCAGCTCGTTCAGCATCGCCCGATTGTGGGTCGCTGGCGGCGTTCAAAGTGGAACGCCCGCGGCGGGGTCGCCGCCGGTCGACACGACGCGAACCTACCGTACTCGGGGGCGTCCAAGAGGGGGGCGTCCAAGAGAGGGGGCGCAGATCATGGCCGGCGGCATGTGCGCGGCCCAGGGGGGGCTGGGGACGCATTGAAGTAAGAACAGGCGCCACGAACTCTGGGGAGATCTCATGACCCCCGCCATGATATCCACCACCCCCTAGTCATCCCCCCCTCCTGGCCGCCCCCGACGTACGCCGATGTTTGCTCGCCGAGCTCTCTCCGGGCTCCCCGCCCGACCCCACCGCGCGGCGCAGGTGTGCACCGAAAGCCCCTCCGAGCCGCGGCCGCCGCGGGCGCCGAGTTCTCGGCGGCGGGCCAAGAGCGGCGGCGGGCGCGCACCGCGAGGGAGAGCGGCGCCGCCGCCGTGGAGGCCTCGGCGCCTGCGGCGAAGGGGGGCCAGGCAGGAACAGCAGCACTCCTCGTCCTCCTCCTGCTCCTCCTCCTCCTCCTCCTCCTCCTCCTCCTCCTCCTCCTCCTCCTCCTCTTCCTTCTCCTCCTCCTCCTCCTCCTCCTCCTCCTCCGCCTCCTCCTCTCATGCTGCGTGTGCTCTTGGGCCCTGCGTTGCCAAAAAGGCGCAGGCTGTGCGCCGGCACCGGGCTGGGCCAGGCCCTGTGGCCAGTCCTGGGCCGAAGAGCTCGCCTCGGAGCGACGCGGCGTGCGCGCACCGATCCTGGGCCCAGGCTGTGCCTCGTCCTGGAGGGTGCCGCCGTGCTGGCGTACAGCAGGGGCCCGACCACAAAGAAGCTTCCACAAGAGAACCAGCCCTGAGACCCCAGGACGCCTCTTGATTGTTGCAGAGCCCTCGAAGCCCAAGAAACCCAGGGCACCCTGGAGGCAAGCAAGGTGTTTGATGGCATGGGCCACCACCACCGTGGAGGGTGCCGTCGCCGGGCGCTCCTTTTCGGGAGGAAGGCCCGAGGAGAGGAGGAGCACTCCAGAGACGGAAATAGATAGGAGAAGGGCGAGAACTGGGCGGGACGGCCCCCCCCCGACCACCCCGCCCCTCACCGAAGGAACGTAAGGCATATATATTATTATTTTATATATATGATGATCTTGGGTCGGCGACGACGCCGCCGACGAAGCCGACGACGACGCCGACGCCGACGCAGACGCAGACGCCGACGCCGACGCCGACGCCAACGACGACGACGACGACGACGAGGACGATAACGACGACGACGACGACGACGACGACGAGGACGACGACGACGATGACGACGAGGACGACGACGACGCCGACGACGACGACGCCGACGCCGACGCCGACACCGACGCCGACGCCGACGCCGACGCCGACGCCGACGCCGACGCCGACAACGACGACGACGACGACGACGACGACGACGGCGACGAACCACCCCACACCCGCAGGGGGCTGCTCCCACAGGGCCATGACTACAGAGGCGGGGGGGAGCAAATTCATTCGCGAGGCCCTGCGACCATGGTCTCGGAAATCTCTCGGCGAACGCAACGGAACGTCCACCTGTCACCACGCCGCGCCCACAGGGCCGCGACCACAGGGGGGGAGCGATCCCATTCGCGAGGCCTTCGCGGGGCTCACGGGCGTACCCATCCAGCGGAGGGGGGGGATCAATCCCATTCGCAGTGGGAGGGGTGATGGCAACCCTGGATCATGTTTTTCCCAATGGTGGGGGAGGGGGCTGAACGGATGTGCAAGAATACAATAATGATCTCAACACGTGGGCCTGACATGATGGCACCTCGCACCGTCGATATGAGCTCTATGTAACGCAACATGTGGAATGCAACCTTCGTGGTGCACTCTTTACGTCGCACTCCACGAACAAAAAGTTGGAATAATCAACTGCAATGCTCGCGCAGAAACCACACCCTCGGACCCGCAAATTGTTGGCAAACCGCATCGAGCCATGATCTCAACGAGCGCACGGGCGCGTGGAACTCAAACGCGAAGACAGATTCGCCCTGCAGGTCGCGACATGGTGGTGGCGATGGTAACGTCCGCGACGCCAATGACGATGGCGATGACAGTGATGATGACACTGGTGCCGATGGTGATAATAGTGGCCATGCGGACAATACGATGCCGATGATAACGATGGTGATGGTGATGAAGCTGATGGTGGTGATAACGACGGTGGCAACGATGATATTTGCGAAGGCGACGACGATGGTACTGGTGATGGTGATGATGTGCCCGCGTGCAGAGGGCAACGACACCGACGATGGCGATGATGACGGCGGCGGTGATGATGACGACGATGGTGATGATGTTAGAGATGACGATCGCAATGATGACGCTGAGGGTGATGATACGGATTGTGCCAATAAGGACGTGGAGGAAGTGCGCACCCGCAGAGCATCTGACACCCTGGAGTATGTTTATCTCATCAGCTCTTTGGGCTGAGGCGGTCTAGCAAGTTCTTTATTTCCTCTTCCAGTAACCCTCTTCCCTTCGGGGAGGGGTACCCTTACCCTCCCCTAGGTTTCGTAAGAGGCTCGAGCGTCCAAGATGGCCCAAGATGGCTCCAAGAAAGCCTCCGATGCTCCAAGGTGGCCTCCAAAGCGGCTCAAGATAGCCGAAGATGGCTCAATCTAGCTTCCGACATACCTTCAAAAACCCGACGAGGGCCACAACACGGTTCCAAGTGCTCTCAGGGCGCCCTCGGGACCCTCTGGCGAATAGGTCATGCCCGCCCCAGGGCTGTTCGTCCCCCTCGCCGCCTCCGAGAATGGGCCCGCACCACACTGGCCATCGCTCGGACATCCATTCCCTGTGTTTTGTTCGGTTTCGTGCGTGTTTTTGTTCGCCAGATGGTCGAGGATGCTCCTCGAAGGTCCTCGCCGAGAAAAAAAAGGCACACGTCCGAGCGATGCCAAGCCACAGGTCACTCCGGCGAAAGGTCACTCTTACGTGCAGTCGGTATATCTCTGCCGCAGGGGATGACGGGGAAGGGGGTGGAAGCGGCACCGGGCGGCCGGGGATGTACTATTCGAGCTTTGATTTGAGCGCTCGCGTACGAGAAGAAATACCACGACAAGTGGGCACCAGGCGAGACCTCAACAGATCCATCCAATTCCCTGGGCAACCTAAGTAAGAATCCCACAAGTGCAAACATGATTCGGGGAGATACAGGGTGGGGCCACATGATGGGTCCCGAACTATCAATAATACGATCAAACGTACGCAACCAGATTCTTACACCACTCTGGGAGTTGAAGCGCGCCACCACACCAACGGGAAGGAAGTACCAACAGGGCTACAAGATCATCACCCGGAACAAATCTGAGTACCACGATGCAAATCACATACATCGACTCGCGACATCGTGGGATAACCGGACGCACACACGGCGACAACGAAGAGGTAGCAGAGGACACTGGGGAACGATGTGCTTGCACGACAAGAGCTGTGCGTTTGTGCTCAGCATCCACCCTCAGCCTGTCCTGGATCAACATCCCCACTTGCTCACTCTATTTGAATGCTTCTGAGAGGAATAACAAAAACACGGTCGGCGGCACACGTGTCAGCGTAGTCGAGCCCCCTCGCACCTTCCCTGTCGCCACGCCCTCTCGGAGCGTGTTCCCATGAACTCGGCACCCCTGCTGGCACTGCTGCGCAACCATGCACAAAGACTGCACCGCTGCAGGGGTGACTGCTACTGTGTCTGCACACAGCCCCGGTTTCGCACGTCCGCGCGCCGAAGCCCCAGTTCACACAAGCAGCGCGGTTCTGTGCGCACCAGGGTCGAATAAAACCTAGGAATGGAAAGACCATGTGAGTCTGTGCACGCACATACATTAGTGCGCACTCGCGCGCAACCATGCACATACAGCAAAGACAGACACGCATGTATATATTCACCTGGCATCAAAGGCCGGCACCGCAGAGTGTGGGTGTTGACAATCTGCGGGGCCCACTTTGTTAATGCTGCTACCAGTGCCAGCGCGACTACAACCTCAAATGTAACTACGGTTGTGAGTACACGTGCGGCGACCACAGTCGTGTACGCACTCCTGTGTGAACATCTCGCCCAAAATGTTCTGGCATGTATGCTCAGGAGTGCGACTGCGGTTCAAAACGGCCTCACGATGTAAAGTACTGAGACGTTCGGATCCCCTCGGAGACCCTCTCACGATATACTTGGAAAAGCAGCTCATCTTCAGTATTGTTTCGCATCGGTCAGAAATTCTGGATCAGGTCAAAGCTTCATTACAGTACAGCCAGAAGTATGCAAAGCTTCCCCGCAAGGCGTCCTCGCAATGCACTCCACAAAGCTGCGCCCACTCAAGACGTCCGCGCAGCGTACTCAGAAGTGCGACTTCCGCTTAGGACTTCCTCACAGCGCAGTCAGGAATCTAACACGTTCGCTCTCTCTCTCTCTCTTTCTCTCTCTCTCTCTCTCTCTCTTTCTCACGGTCAAGGCGTCCTCGAAATGTGCTCAATCATGCAGCTCCTGCTCGAGTCGTACTCCAAATGTACTCAGGAATGTTACCCCGCGCGAGGCTCCCCCGATTCTGCGGTAACCGCTCAAGCCTTCCTCGGAATGCGATCGAGCATGGACCTTCCGCTCGACCGAACATTGTCCAGTTTTGCCCCCCGAGGTGGCGCCTTGAAGTCCCAGGATGTCCCCAAGATGTGCCAGCACGGCCTCGAAAGGGCTCCGAGATGGCCCCAGCATGGCCGCGGCATGGCCTGGTCTGGGCGGGGGGGGGCGCGTCCGCAGGAGGCGCAGCCCGCGAGACCACTGAAATAATGGATGCACGCGCACAAAGTCAGGCGCCAAATGGTCGCAGTGGCGAATTACGCGATGAAGTAACAACATTTTGAGCCGATCCCAACGCGTCATAAAAAAACAACCAGAGCGCTTTATTCCGCTGCCATACCGGGCTAAGGGGGGGGGGGGGGGCGCACAACGCAACGCCGCCCTCACCCCCGCCGTGTGGTTCCGGCACCATAGCGCCTGGGCGTTACGTTATGGGGGGGGAGTGCGGGGACATACTGCGCGTTATGGCCCAGGTTAAAAAAAAAACACGCTCTTCTCATCTGGCTGATGCCTTTGTTGGCTGCCCTGTTTCGCTGGCGCTTGCGTCGGTATCGCCCTTGTGATCGCTGTGTCTATGGACCCTTGCTGAGTCTGCCTCCTCAGTGCGCCTGCCGGCGTCGAAGCTGCACGTCGAATGTCTGTTCGGAACTGCTGCCGTGTAAAATGGGCCGATGTCGCCCCGCTTTCAGCCAGCGTGCGCGTATGGAGGTATCTTCTCTAGTGCCGTCTGCTCCGATCTCGCGATCGATAACAATCACATGGTCGAAAGACATTGGCCTGCTACACGGGCGGTTGCTGCCAGCAGAGCAGCCATCGCATCAGGCACCAAACGGCTGGGTAGTGAAGCTACTGCGGTGTTGTAGCCTGTCAACAAGCACCTTGAGATGCAAATATCCTTGGGGCATTGGGGCCAAAGCTGACCACTCTGAGACCACCGGTCCCGAGGCCATCTGGCAAGCAGAAGAACATGCACCTGACCCTGCTCTAGCGAATCCTCCTTCCGTCGTCAATGATGGGCCTGTTCTCCACCACCACCACCATAAGTTGGAGGGGGAGGGGGTCCTCCTCCTGCTCCTCCTCCAACTCCTCCTCCTCCTGTGCTTCGTCCTCCTCCTCCTCCTCGTCCTCCTCCTCCTTCCCACCTCCAACTTATCGTGGTGGTGGTGGAAAACACGCCCGTCAGTCAACGTATGCGTGCTGCAGCGTAGCCGCGGTGCGCCCGCGCTACTCCCACAAGGGAGGAGCCAGCCAGGCGGAGAGCTATACCAGTGTGCACAACTGCTGATCATCGCAGTCTCCATGCAATTCGGATGACTGCCAAGGCGCCGGCCAAGGCAATGGACTGCGTAGATTCGAAGCCCCCCAGGGACAGTGAGTCAGCGCTGGCCCCGACTATGCTCTCCCCCAGCAGCCTTCGAAAGTGGCGACAGTTTCGCGGCTCGCAGCCCCCCATTGATGGCGAAGTAGATAAGAGGCAGGAAGCAGGTAGGAGACAAGAGGAAAGAGGAGGGAGGCGGGAGAAGGACTGAGCCCAGTGCTTTATTCAAAACGGGACCCCAACGCTGCGTATCCTCATCACTCCTGGTCGAGTCATCGGGCAAGAATTCCCAGCCACCTCGGGCGGGGTCGACGTGGGTTCATCCCTTGGAGCGACCTCGTCAAGTAACAAGATATCGTGTTACGCTGATCTCTGTGGCGGGCCCTCCGAAGCCCCAAATGACCCTCCAACTCATAGAACCCTAACCCAGGGCAGCAATGAAAGATCCCCCTGAGGTCTTACTACTCGTGGGGGCGGGTTTAGCAGAGAGATACCTTTAGCACCACACCACGCAGCAAACATATATAATTGTTCCCCACCCCCCGTGACCGACACCTATAACTAGTGAGGATTGACAGTAAGAACACAAGAGCCATGAACGCCTCCTCTTTCTGCTTCTCCTCCTCCTCCTCCTCCTCCTCCTCTCTCCTCCTCCTCCTCCTCCTCCTCCTCCTCCTCCTCCGCCTCCTCCTCCGCCTCCTCCTCCGCCTCCTCCTCCTCCTCCTCCTCTTCCTCCTCCTCCTCCTCCTCCTCCTCCTTCTCCTCTCCTCAGGGTGCCAGGATAACGCTTCCGGGTGCTGGATGCGTTATCGCTTCACGGGACGAGGGGGGATCCTTCATTGCCGGCAGAGCGCAGCCGAAATCGACGACCCTCCAAGGCTCGCTGCGCCCTGCGGCCACACCGAGCGTGAACGTGGCCACCAACAAGCGCACCTCGCCCCGCACGAACCGCCAGTAGGCGCTTCCCTGCCCGCCGCGGCGCGAGGACAGACGAAAATGCGCGCGGATTGCTACCAGCACCGTATCGAATACCACTGTCGCGAGTGTGGATGTCACAAATGCGTATCTGACATGTGGGGCCGGGGCCGGGACCGCGGCCGCGGCTTGGGCCGGGGCCATGGAGCCGGGGCCGGGGCCGGGGCTGGAGCCTGGAGCCGGGCCCCGGGCCGGAGCCGGGGCTGAGGCTGGGGCTCCCAAGCCCAACGAACCACCAACGAGCCAACCCGTCAGGGAACTAGCCCGCCATCAAGCTCGACAGGCAGACACGACAGAAGCATTCCATTCAGCCCAAACTGCCTAAGGCGACTGCCAATACATTCTCTTTCCCCCCCTCCCGCTCCTCCTCCTCCTCCTCCTCCTCCTCCTCCTCCTCCTCCTCCTCCTCCTCCCTCATGTTCCTCCTCCTTTTCCTCTTCCTCCTCCTCCTCCTCCTTTCTCCTCCTCCTCGTCCTCCTCCTCCTCCTCCTCCTCCTCCTCCTCCTCCTCCTCCTCCTCCTCCTCATCATCATCATCATCATCATCATCATCAGCAACATCATCAGCATCATCAGCATCATCATCATCATCATCCCTTCTCATCCTCCCTCCTGCCTCCTCGAGGTAGAGCTCACAAGCCATGAAAAAGGACGAGTTTGCGCAGAGCGTCCCAGAGCGTCTCGGATGGGCGGCACAAGCTGAAAGCCTCCACAATCACTAAAGGAGCCCAAGCCCCGACCACAACAAAAAGCCGTATGGAAGCCCGGAGAAGCCCGCCATCGGTCGGGCGACGCCTGGCCTACGGAGGAAGCCAACCGCAACGACATCCGCAGAGCGCGGGGCCCTGGGAGAATGAAACGCAAGCGGATGGTTGCTCAGAGGCTTTGCACTACGATTTTTCAAAATTTGCCGCGGCCCGACGAAAGAACTGCTGCCCAAAGCCCAAAGAGCATGCAGCACAACCAGGCCCCGTGTTTCCAGCCCATAATTCCGATCGCAATGGCACTTCCCGAAATTCATGCTACGACCAATGCCATCATGAATGCGATGGTTACTGTGTCGATTACTATGTAATTTCGACTACTGCGAACCCGACAGCTACTGCGATGTAAAGTTTATGCTGCGATGACGGTTGTTGTACGTACCATGTGCTGCGAGCACCTGTCGAGCTCCTGCTGCGCACCATCAGGAGTGGGCCAAAGGAAATTGCAGACTGAATACGGGGTCCTTGAGTCTGCATCGAAGTTTCTCTCTAACTTGGACCACAACTAAGGCCTCAGAAGGCCGTCTAGAATGATGTGGACGCCCGCCGAAGACACGTTCGCGAGGCAAAACTGATTAGAAAGGCCTGGAGCGTAGGGATTGTCATCACCGCCTCCTCCTCCTCCTCCTCCTCCTCCTCCTCCTCCTCCTCCTCAATCTCCATCTCCTCCTCCTCCTCCTTCGCCTCCTCCTCCTCCTCCTCCTCCTCCTCCTCCTCCTCCTCCTCCTCCTCCTCCTCCTCCTTTTCTCTAACTTGGACCACAACTATGGCCTCAGAACGCCGTTTAGAACGATGTGGACGTTCGCCGAAGACACGTCCGCGAGGCAAAACTGCTTCGAAAGGCCTGGGGCGCAGGGATTGTCATCACCGCCTCCTCCTCCTCCTCCTCCTCCTCCTCTCCTCCTCCTCCTCCTCCTCCTCCTCCTCCTCCTCCTCCTCCTCCTCCTCCTCCTCCTCCTCCTCCTCCTCCTGTCCTCCTCCTCCTCCTCCTCGTCCTCGTCCTCGAAAACCCACGTGCCGCTTTGCGACTGTGGCGGCCGCTGCAGCGACCCATGGCCTCCTGCCGCTGGCCTCCCGGGCGCCCGGGAGCCACCCGAGAGCGCACCTGGACGCGCAGGCACCCCGCGCGGCGGCGCCGCCGGCGGGACGGCACGCGGCGGACCTCGGGTTAAGTCGGGCCTGTCCCCCTACAGGGGGATTGTCGACGAAAAATAAAAAATACTCCAAAAACACTCAAAAAGAATCCAAAAATAGTATGGGGAGTATTTCTTTAAGTATTTTTGTTACCTTCTTGGGGCATTTGGGGGGTATTTCTTATTTTTCGTCGAAAACCCCCCTGTAGGGGGACACGCCCGACATAAATCTCGCAGGGCAGGAGGCTCCTGCCTTGGCCACGCCGGCCCCAGCTTCTCTCTGGCCCCAGACCCCGCTCGAGTCATGGCAGGAATCTGGGCGGGAAATGTTCCGCCATGTTCGGCCTCTGGGGGCCCGCCCCGGGGCTCGGGACCGTCAAAAGACGAGTCGGGAGGAAAAACCGGCCCCGGGGGGAATGGGTCTGGACCTCCGGCGGTCGCGTCCTGAAGAATCATGGCGTCGGGGGTCGGGGAACACGTCGACCCCCATCCCACGCTTCGTGGTGCTCTCGGCTGGGCCCAAACATCTGGGCCCCAACTCTCTGGGCTACACACGATGGGGCGGGCGCCCCTCCTCGAGAGAGAGATGCGTCCGAGCAGCCCCCCTGGGGTGTGTCCCAAGGCTTCCCCCCGTTTCCGAGCGGCCAGACTTTCGCAAAAGGCATCTATATACACCACCACCGTGCCGAGGCAGGGCCATCCTGGGCCCCAGGATGGTGCATACGCCCTCCTGGCCGAGGCCAAGAGGGTCTATACACCATCCTGGGGCCCAGGATGGCCCTGGCCTGGCACGGTGGTGGCGTATAGATGCCTTCGTCGGAAAACTCGTCGGGCGGAGCCCGGGGATACGGGCGCGAAAAAAGTCGCCGGCGAGCGCGAAGCGCCCGGCCTGGAGCGACATCCGCTCCCGGAGGTCCCCAAAAAGACGCGGTCGGCCCCGCCCTGGGCTTGCACGGTCCGCCCCTCCCCACGCTGATGATATTTACCAGCCTGGAACATATCCCTATCCCTATGTTCGGCATCGCCTCATCACGATGGCGATCTTAGGGACTCCCTCAGTTTCTGAGGGTGCAGCCCTAAGATTGTCGTCGCCTTTTGGCGTGTCAATCTCAGGGATAGGGATAAGTTCGAGGCTGGTGAAATACAGTCGTCGGGCTGCCAGAAGGAGCGCACGAGAAGGGAACGCAGGAGCATTTCTGGCCACGGCGGGCCTGGGCCACAGGCAGGTGCCACGACACAAGTCTGAGTGAAGGGGCCCCAGGACACACAAATCAAATAAATACACACAAATAAGAAGATGGCCCTATATTTTCCCATGTTTTCTGGGTTTTTGTCTTCCCACCCACTTCCCATATTGTCCCATAGTTCCTGGGGAAGTCGACGATGAATTGTGTCTGTGTGTGTTTTTCCCCCTCCCGTCTGAGGAGCGGCCCGAAAACCGGAGCCCCCTCCCGAGCCCACAGCGGCCCCGCTTTTTCAGCGTCTGGACTGCGGGGCGGCCGAGGCGGAGGCATGCGGAAACGATCGGGGGGCGGAAGGCGAGAACGCTAAAAAATACGGTCGGATCGTCGACCTGGAGCAGGAGAGCATGCCTCAAGAACACGAGAGACCCTCCCGAAAACCAGAGCCCCATCCCGAGCCCACAGCGGCCCCGCTTTTTCAGTGTCTGGACTGCAGGGCGGCAGAGGCGGAGGCATGCGGAAACGATCGGGGGGCGGAAGGCGAGAAGGCTAAAATTGGGGGGAAAACAAACCTGCCTCGCTCTTGACCACCCTCGCTTCCAAGAGATACCAAACGATGCCAGATTGCAGCCTGTACTGGTCAGGCCGCTTGACGAGGAGGCGCGTGGTATGGCTTGGTTTTGCCCGGAAGCAAAAGCGGGGTAGGTAATTCACGCTCTGAATAATACGGTCGGATCGACCTGGGACAGGGAGAACATGCCTCAAGAGCACGAGACCCTCCGCCGGCCCAAACACCCCAGACCCTAAGATCACTCGAGGGTGCCCTCCCCCAGGATGCACAAGAACATCCAGCAGACACGAAGAACACAGGGGTGCCCTGCCGGGGCCGACCGATCGATCTTCCTGCCTCGGTCCGGCCGTGCTGCAACACCGAGAAGGAAAGCCCAGCAATGATCCCACTGGCTCGCACGGACCTCGCGACTCGGGCTGCTGCCTCCGGCAGGCCCACATTTACCAGCCTGGAACATATCCCTATCCCTATGTTCGGCACCGCCTCATCACGAGGCCAATCTTAGGGATTCCCATTTTTTTTTGAGGGCGACTCCCTAAGATTGTCGTCGCCTTTTGGCGTGTCAACCTTAGGGATAGGGATATGTTCGAGGCTGGTAAAATAAGTATCCCACTGGCTCGCACGGACCTCACGACGCGGGCTGCTGCCTCCGGCAGGCCCACTCAGCGGTGGACAAACCTCCCTTTCGTAAACCTCCCTCTAGTGAAAACGGCCTGGGACAGAAACCGACGGACCTGGACCCGCAAAAATGACGGCCGCGACGCCCTCTCGCGAACCGAAAACGGCCAATTCCTCAATCGACGTGTCAGGGCACTCCAGATGTGGTAATAAATGGTAATAAAAGGGAGGGGGTCTGGACTGGACCCTCCAAGACAAGCCATTTCAGACCCCCCCCCGTGGGAGAACCCTCCAAAACATCGTCCCCAGACCCCCCCAGGCCCTCCAAATAGCCTGGAAGAGACCCCCCCCGAAATGAGACCCCCCTCCCTTTATTACGAAATCTGGAGTAGGAGGTCTGTCCACCCCCGACCCACGTGGGGCCCGAGGCGGACCCTCCTCGGAGGGCGCCGCACGCGACCCCGGACGCTCGCGCCAGCGTCGCGCGCCGCGGCGGCGCGGCGCACGCCCGCCTGCCGCGGCCGCCCGCTATATGGCCGGGGAGCAGAGGCCGCACGGTCCACCCGTGTAACCACAAGGGACGCACGGTTGAGGGGGCCCCAGGACACACAACTAGATACACACGAATGAAATGATTCCCCATATTTTCTGGCATTTTCTGGGTTCTTGTCTTCCCGCCCACTTCCCATATCTTCCCATATTTTCCTGGGAGTGGACGATTCATTGTGTCTGTGTGTTTTTTCCCCTCCTGAGCAGAGGCCGCACGGTCAACCCGTGCAACCACAAGGGACGCACGCTGGGGATGCGGGGGCCCTGGGAAGGCCACAGGCCGGCACTGTACGGGCGGGGCGCGCGGCCGGCGAAGAAGGCGGCCAAGGACGGGCCGAAAGGGGGGGGGGAGAGGACCCCGACCTTCCAGGAGGGCTAAAACATAGCGCCAGGACCTCGACATCTGCATTCCTCCCGAGGTCTCAGGCAGCCCAGATGGGTCTCCAGGTCTGGAGGGCTACTTTTTAGCACCCTGGAAAGTCAGGGGATGCGAGGGCAGCCTCCGAGAGTATGGCTCGTCCTCGCCGTGCGGGCCGACTGCATCGACGTCGCACGCCGCCGTGGGCCGCTCGTCGGCGCGCCGCCGTCGGAGCAGCACCGGGGCGCAGTCGCGCGGAAGCGAAGGGGCGACACGCGCTGGCGGGCTCCCGACGGCCGCGCGCCGTCGCCACGCGTGCGCCCTCGGAGCCCCCCCCCCCCCCCCCCGCTTTGGACGCCCGAGGTGGGCACGGAAAAAAAAAGGGCACCGTGCCCAACAACGACGAATGTTGTCCCAAAGCAGCAGCGGCCGCCGTCGGGCAGGCGGCCCTCTGTCTCGCATGGGCACAGGCCGCGGCGGCGTGGGCCGCGGGTCCGGTTCAAGATGAGCAGGAACTGCCGTTGGGCATCGGACCCATTCTTTCCGTACCCGTCTCGGGCGTCCAGACCCGCAGGCCGCCTCGGCCTCAGGCCGGCTGTCCTCCAGCAGCGCGACCGCGCCCTCCCCGAGGGCGCCGGCGACGGCCGCGCTGGACGCGAGCTCCCTCGAGGGGGGGGGAGGGCTCTCAGCCGAGGCGCGCCAGAGGGAGGGAGGCGGGGGGAGCAGCCGGAGGCCCAGGAGGTCGGGCATTGCCAGGGTTCGGTCGGGCATGTCCCCCTACAGGCGGATTTTGGACGAAAAAAAAAATTAGCCAAAGAAACGCGCAACAAATACTCAAAAATGGTCCAAAAATCGTCTCCAGACTATTTTTCGAGTATGTTTGAATATTCCTCATGTTGAGGGACGTGCCCGACCTAATGCCAGGGACATTCCTGGCCCATGATGCCAGAAGATCTCCGCGCCATGTATAGCAGCCCTTGGGGACCCCTTTTGGCCCCGTGAGGGGTGCTCTGGAAGCCGTGGGGCCTCCCTGGACAAGCCGGTGCCACCCTGGGCCAGAGACATTTTTGGCAACACGCGAGAGGGCGGGGCAGAAGAAGCAGGCGGAGCGGATGGCTCGTATCCCGATCTCTCCATGCTGCTTCAGAGCAGCCGCGGCAAGAGTCTGCCATCGAGCACCACAGAAGACGGTGAGGTGTGCGTGTCAGCTCTGGCGCTTACTACAAACGGCAGCGGAGAGCCAGTTGCAGCCAGAGAGAGGGAGGACAACTGGCGTTAGGCACAACGTGGCCCCGGGGCATACCAAAAAATAGACACAAATCCCAGGATTCCCCCATGTTTCCCCACATATGTTCTGGGTCTTCGTCGTCCTCCCCCCTGCCCATGTTTTCCTGCATTCTCCTCGGGGTCGACGATTCATCGTGTCCAGTGGCGAGGAAGAGGCCCAGGATGGAAGAGCTAGACATGAGAGGATCTTGGCCCCCCAAAAAAAGCAAAGAACCCTCGAAGGATTAGATATGAGCAGTGGGTATGCTTGCCCCCTCCCGACCCCCTCCAGGCACGGGCTCCGCCGAACCGCACCGCCGAGGATGGCCGCCGAGCTCCCGGGAGCGTGGAGCGCCCGGGAGAGGGCGGCCGACGCTCCCGGGCAGCAACAACCCGGCGGCCTCGTCCTGGCCGGCCAGGCCACCACGGGGCGAACCGACAAGAGCAAGGGGAAATGGTCAGGACGGGCGTGTCCCCCGAAAAGCGGACTGTGGAGGAAGAGTTCGCCGGCCCAACGGGCCAGAGGCGTGCTAAGATCTCCGGCAACTGGTTAACAATATTTCTAGTTCGCGCGCGCGGGGCGGCCCCTGGGGGTCCCCCGGCGGAAAGCATCCCGACCGCAGCCGGAGCAGGTCTACTCAGAGATGGTTTTGAGGGCCTGTTTTCGACACCCCTCACGAGGATCGTGGCCTCCGAGGGGGGTGCACTCGACTACCCCGCCCCAAGAGGCCCCCAAGAGCCCCCCAAGAGGCCCAAGGGGGCCCCAAGACGCCGCCAAGGAGCCCTAAGAGACCCCCAAGAGGCCCCGAAGAGACCCTAAGGAGGCCCCAAAGAGGCCCCCACGAGGCTTCAAAGAGGCCCCATAGAGCGCTCGAGGGCCGGCGGAATGAGCGAAGCGAATAATAAGCAATAGCCAACCAATATTCAAAAATGGTCAAGAATAGTTGAAATATCGTCCCCGTACTATTTTTAAACTATTTTCGAAGATTCCCCCTGCAGCGGGACGTGCCCGACTGAAGGGCATGGCGACCCCACCACCCGCCTCTGCGGGACTGCCGACGGGCCCCCAAAAACATGAGCTCGGGCATATACAAGGTGGGAGGGCGCCCCTCCTCGATAGGGGGTGCGTCCGAATACTGCAGCCCTCTGGGGTTGCATCCCCGATGTGCCTTTCCTTTCTGAGCAGCCTGGTCTTGTTTAAAGGGTGGGAGCCCAGGGATTAGAGGAGCGCAATCGCCTGCGAGATCGTCGCGTGTCCTCGTCGGCCCCCGTTAGGGGGCCAGATGCGAACCCTACCCCTACCCCCCTCAGAAATCGTGGGGGGTAGGGGTAGGGTTCGCATCTGGCCCCCTACCCGTGCGGAAGCCTGGGAGGGCGGCACGACGCTTCCGGCAGACCGGGGACGGGCGCCGCGCCCGCCAGCGATGCAGCCGTCGGGCTGCCACGAGGAGCGCCAGAGAAGGATCGCGAAGGGGCAATGCTGGCCGCGGCGAGCCTGGGCCACGAACAGGTCCCCCGACCGGTATCCACAGAGGAGAGAGAAAACGGCATGAAGAGAAACTGTCGGTGGTCCGCGCGGATGTCTTGGATCTGCGCTGGGCCCCCCTCGCTGGCGCGCGAAGCGCGCCAGGGGCGGCGCCGGAGGCGCCGCCAGGGGAGCCCGGCGCAGATCCAAGAGATCCACGCGGAGCGGCACGAGCTTTTATGATTCGAATTTCTATTCTTCGAGTTTTTATGATTCGAGAAGTTGTTATGTTTATGGCGTTTTTTTTTTCTTCTTCGAGATTCTGGCCACGGCGAGCCTCGGCCACGAGCGGGCCCCCCGACCTGCACCGTGAGGGGCGGCCCGAGCACCAGCGCCCCGCGGGAGCCCCAGGTCGCCCTGCATGTCAGGCCGGGCATGTCCTCCTACAGGCAGGGGCCTTCAAAAAAGAATGCGAAATGACAGAAAAATCGCCCCCGTGAAAAATGAGAATAACAAAATAATAATAATAACAGAGAATAACAGAAAATGAGAATAACATAATGAGAATGATAATAAAAGAATAACCGATTGTTGTGACTACTTCTGAACATTCCTCCTGTAACTCGAGGGACACGCCCGACTGAAATCTAGAGCGCGGCCCGAAAGCCAAGGCCCCGCCGGAGCCCACCAAAAGTCGCCCTATACATGTCAAAAGATTGACTGTGCCCTTGGTCTCGCGCCGGCCCCTCGACGGGACGGCGCGCCGCCTGGCCGTGCTCCGCGCCTGGCACAGCACCAGCACCGACTCCTCCTGGTGGCGGCGAGCAGAAGAGCGAGCAGAGACTGCAATCGCAGAAAACGAAGACCATAGAGGCCTCCTAGATGGGGTCCGGGTAGATGGGGTCGGAGGATCTCGCCGCATCGCCGACACATCGGCGATGCATCGGCGATGCATCGTCGATGCATCGGCGATGCACTGGCGACGTCGGCAATGCATCGGCGACGTCGGCGTGGAGAAAAGTGAGCTCCACATCGAGCGGCATCGGCGATGCATCGCCGATGAATCGGCGATGCGGCGCGATCCTCCGACCCCATCTACTCGAACCCCATCTATGACCAAAGCTGAACCTGGAAGCGGCGGCGTTAATCTTGGTGATGCGTCTTGGTCATCGTCCTTCGTGGATCCTCCTCGCGACGGCCGGCATGGACCATGACCAAGATCGGCGCGGACCAGCTGTCACGACGTCTTGGTTATGGCCACCGTGCTTCTTCACCTGACAGTGCACTCCTTCGGAAGCGAGGGAAACAGGAAGGGCAGGGAGCTCGCGAAGCTCCAACCAACGCCCTCAGCAAGTGAAGGGGTCCTGGGACACACAAATAAATACACACAAATATAAAGATTCCCCTATATTTTCCCATATGTTCTGGGCTTTTATCTTCCCCACCACTTCCCATATTTTCTCATATTTTCTGGGGAGTCGACGATTACTTGTGTCTGTGTGTTTTTTCCCCTCCTGAGCAAGATGCCACCAGAGCCTGGCTGCCGGCAGCGCGGCAGGGTCCTGCACCTCTCCACCGCCCGGACCTCAGGATGCGGTGGACACGCTCAGGTTCGGGCCACCCGGGAGGCCCGAATCTGTCCATGCCCCCCAGCCTCCACAGGTCAAGGAGGATCGGCACCCCAGGCGGTGGTGCCATGCTCCTCCTCCTCCTCCTCCTCCTCCTCCTCCGCCTCCTCCTCCTCCTCCTCCTCCTCCTCCTCCTCCTCCTCCTCTGGTTTGTACCACAGGGCTTCTTCGCGCTTGTTCAAAAGTGCGCACGCGCCCTCTGGTCGCGATAAATGGGGGGGGGCCATAAATGGAGGGGGGGGGTGGGGGGCAGCGAAGGCGTCAGTGAAGAGGCCCTTTAGGGCGCCGTCCTCCCTCCCCCCCTTTTATCACCCCTCGCCCCTCCCCATTGAGGCGTTTTACACGCGCCCGGCGTCGGACGCGAGGCCGCGGCGGCCCTCTCACGGAAGCGGGGGGGGAGCTCCTCAGAAGGGCCCTGGCGCTTCCCCACGCCGGGGGGGGGGAGCCTGTGGACCAAAACTGAAGAAACAATATACGCAAAAAAACACACACACACACACACACACACACACACACTGTGGAAAAACACACACACTGTGGAACAAAAACGCACTGTGTGTGTTTGTTCCACCGTGTGTTTTTTCCTCAGAAGAGCCCTGGCGCCCCCCCGGAGGATCTCCAGGAGGGCCAGGGCGCCCGAGGCAGTCCATGCCCCCCGCCTCCACAAGGGTCAAGGAAGAGCGGGCCCCTTGGGCGGTGGCGCTATGTGTGCACACCGCGGCGGGCCCGGGGGGAAAGTACTTCTCGGAAGCCTCGGAGGTCCCGCAGCCTCCTGAGCTATGTTTTCGGAGCCTTCCTCGAAGAAGCCGAGAAGCCTCTCGGAAGGCGCGAGGGCCTCTGAGAGGCCCCGCCGCCTCCTGAACGGGCCTCCTGCTCCCCACTTCCCCCCCTCGCTCCGCCGGCGAGTGCAGGCGCCCGGCGTCAGACGCGAGGCCGGGAGGCCCTGATCTCACGGGAGCCGGGGGGGGGAGGAGGGGAGCTCCCTAGAAGGGGCCCCGCGGCGCCTCCCGGGAGGACCTCCGGGAGGGGGCGGCCGCGGAAAGCGGCAGGGCGTCTCGAGGGGGCGGTCGGCGGCTCAAAGGCGGGGTCCTGAAGGATGGGGGGTCTAACCTCAGGATGTCTTCAGGTTTGCACACGCACACACCATCACTCCCGGCGGGGAACAGGCTCACCCTTCCTCCTCCTCATCCTCCTCCTCCTCCTCCTCCTCCTCCTCCTCCTCCTCCTCCTCCTCCTTTTCCAATCAAGCAAGCAAGCAAGCAAGCAAGCAAGCAAGTCGAGTATGGACAGCGCGTGTCGCACGCTGCCACGTGCCCCCAAACAGGGCTCGACAGATGGCAGCCGTGGCTGCCGCCCTCATCGCTTACAGAACTCAACGTAATCATCTTCCAGCAGATTCCAATTATCCCGGCGTTGTGCCACCGCAATCCACGAGGAAGCGCCAACAGGCCTGCCTGCCCTGCCTGTAAAAAAAACCTGCCAAGGCTGTCACACCACCGCGTAAGCGGCCGCGCCTGCGCTCTGCAACCTGTCAAGGACCAATATAGCATCGCTTTCGTCCAGCGGCCGTCGTCCCGACGGGCAACGTGCCCTGCCCACCGAAACTTTCGCGTTGAAACCTCTTCCACCCAATTGCGAACACCGTGCTCCTGGCTGACCTTGACCGCTGTGGGTGTCGAGCGCACGATCCAGCTAACCCAGTCCTCAAATATGGGGTCCTGAAGGATGGGGGGCCTAAGGACTCGAGTATGGGGATCGGCTACAGATTTGCTTGCCTCAGAGATTGGTTCCCCCGCCGGGTCTACGAAGAATGCGTGGAGTGCTCCGTAGATCTGCGGAGCATCCTTCGCATCCTTCGCAGGCTCGACGGGCAACACACACACACACACACACACAGTCCTGTGGCACATGGATGCTGCAGGCGACCCCCTCCTCGCAGGACGCGGTGCCTCAGGCAGCGCAGGGCCCAGCCCTGGGCCCCTGCCTGTCCTCACATGGGCGGCCCCTAGGGGAACCAAAGCTAGAAGAAATAAGAACAAAACAACAAGACCAACAAAAATGGTATGAATATAAACTGTTGGCGCTCCGCGCGGATTTCTTGGATCTGCGCTGGACCCCCCTCCCCAGCGCGCGGAGCGCGCCAGGGGCGGCGCTGGAGGCGCCGCCAGGGGGGCCCAGGCGCCGCTCCAAGAAGTCCGCGCGGAGCGCCAAAAGTTTATGATTGTGCCGTTTTCGCTTCTTCGAAGACATGCCTGCTTCCAACGGCCGAAGGGTACTTGTTCTTGCTTTGCGCCAGCTCGGGTCCGAGTTGCGATCGGGCGCTGACAAGAGCTACTTTTGGAGTCCCGAAACGGTGCGGTGACAGACCGTGCGGTGACCTCGAAATCCCCCGAGACCTCACCGCACGGTCCGTCAGAGCACGGTTTTGGGACCACGGAGGCCCCAGTCGCCCGAGACGTCCTCGGAGAACGACCCGAGTCCGAAAACCGTGCGGTGACCTCGAATCCCCACCGACTCACCGCACGGTGTGGTCACCACCCCGTTTGGGGACCCCCGAGACATGGGCTGCTGCTGCGCGACTGGGGCACTGGGACAGAGGGGCAGCAGGAAGGACCGGGGAAAAGAGGGAGAGGGCCGCGGGCGGCCGGGGAGCCCAGAGCAGGAGGCAGCCCAAAAAAACAAGGCAGCCAGACAGACGGATCAGCAGACCAGCAAACCGACGAACAGAAACCTCG